AAAGATAAGTCATGGAAAAAGAAAAAATACTGGAGAAGGGAAAAGGAGAGGAAAGATTGGAGAAATTAGGAGGAAAACACCACCAAGGGCAGTGGCCTGCAGCAAACCTTTCCTGCTGAGAGAGGCTGAGCTGCACCTGATAAGCCTACCCAAGAGACCAGAGGCCTATTGAAGTGAGCGAGGTAAGCGGAGAGGCAAACCGACTGTGGGCAGCAGAACAAACCGGCAGAGAACTAAGAGGCGAGCTGATGAGAGATTGGGGCCAGCTGCGGAACTGAGAGGAGAATCAGCTGTGGTGCTGACCGTCAGAGAACAAAGAGGCGAGCCAGTGAGACCGCGATTGCAGAGAGGAGAAGTGAGCTTACTGTGCACCATCTCGGCAGTCCTGTTTGCTGGAGGAAGCAGAACACCGGCATGACAAACCAGCAAACAGGAGACATGTGGCTGCGGAACAGAGTAGCGGCAGCGCAGCAGGGAGGAGAGCCAGCAGCAAGAGGCAGCACAGCGAATTACAGCAGAGGGTAGCGTGGAAAGTGTCGGTGGAGCAACGGGGAATCAGAGGCTGTCGGTGGTGGAGCATTGCAGCACAGCAGACCAGCGATTGCGAATGGCAACAGAACAGCACGGCAGACCAACAGTCGGGGGGGGGGGGGCAGCACTGAGAAAAGCAGGGAGAGCTGAATAGCCGGTGGTGACAGATGAAAACAAGTAGGAAGAGAGGCTAAAAAAAATATAATTACAGAATACAAGGCAAAAAATAAAAGCAGAGTAGACAATAGCAAATACGGAACATATAAAGGTAGAGAAGAAAGGGATAAATAAAGCTCACAAGAAGGCAAGGAGGAAAGGGATAATTATAGAACATTCCAGGACATGATAAGAAAGAACCTTGTATTTAAGCCCCACTCAACACTGAAAATTTCAAAATTTGACATTTTAAATGAACTGCTAGAACTTTAAAATTTGAAACTAGACATTTCCCCCCAAATTTTGAAATTTTGAAATGATATCAAATGATATCAATTTTCTAAATTGGACATTTTTCCCTTTTAAAAATTTGTGGTAAAACCTACAGTCTCATTTTCAATTTTTTCTCTTTTTCATTGTTTTTAATCCACTCATGGAAAAAGAAACTGGTTCTATTGCAATCTGCAAAACATGTTCCATGTGTACGCTTATGCCCATCCAAACTATAAATGTACCAAATGTAAACTAATTGTGTTATTAGAAGAAAAAGTAAAAGGTCTAGAGGAAACTCTAACCACTTTGAAACTCAACCTACAAAATGAGAAACCCCAAACCTTGCAAGAAGAATGTGCCCAAATTGAACATAATAATGCTCAAACAACTTCTGAAAGAACTGACCCCTTAGAAGAAGAAAAGAGATGGAAGCATGTCACTTATAGAAAAAAACACAAACCTAGAACAAAACCCCTGTCCAACCCAACCCCCTCTGATACAGCCCCACTGGTGCTGAGCAATCGACTTCATATACTGTCCCTGGGGGAAAACATGAAGACACCTAGAAAAGAAGCATCATCAAATGTCCCTAAAAAAGTAGTAACATCAAGTGCTTCTGTGATAGACAGAAAAATACCACAAAACTCCCTAGGGGGAAAAAAGGCGATAAGAGATTCAATTCTCAAGGGAACAGAATCAGCCATCTGTAGATCAGACAGTCAATCCAGAGAGGTATGTTGTCTCCCTGGAGCAAAAATCAAAGATGTGGCTGAGAACCTAACCAAAATAATAAAACCTACAGATTACTACCCTTTTCTACTACTACACGTGGGGACGAATGACACAAAAATGGACCTAAAAACAATATTGAGTGATTAGGAATAGCTAAGCAAGAAGGTCAAGGAGTTAGACGCACAAGTAGTTTTTTCATCTGTACTGCCAACGAAAGGTCAACATCCAGTAAGAAAACAAAGAATTCTAGAAGTGAACCATTGGCTAAATGGTTGGTGTCACCCAAAAAACTTTGGATTCTTGGACCATGGTTTGTACTACCTCCATGATAGACTTTTGGCAAGGGACGGGCTGCACCTCACAAAAACTGGGAAGAATGTTTTCAGAAAACGCCTGGCTGATCTTATCAGGACGACTTTAAATTAAAACTGAGGGGGGAGGGTGACCAATGTTTAGGATCTCCAGGACCTAATTATAAGCCAAAACCCCTAGAAAACAAATCAAATAAGGAGGGAAGGGAAGGAAGACAAACTCAAACACCAAATAGGAGTATAGGAATCATACCCAGAGTCACATAAAGATCTCAAATGCCTGTATACAAATGCACAAAGTTTGGGGAACAAACAGGGTGAGCTAGAAATATTAATACATAAAGATAGATATGATATAATTGGAATTACTGAAACTTGATGGGATGAAACCCATGAGTGGAACATACTGATAGAAGGATACAAATTATTAAAAAAAAAACCAGACCCCATAAAAGAGAAGGTGGGGTTGCATGAGACCAAAAACGAAAACCATCTAGAATGCATATGGGTCAATATAAAAGAAAAAAAAATGACATTGCCATAGGTGTATACTACAGGCCACCCAACCAAGAAGAAAAAAATAAATGTTCTTTTTGCTAACCAATTAACAAATATATGTAGGAAACACAGTACAATAGTAATGGGAAACTTCAATTACCTTAACATCAACTGGAAGACTAATTCTGCACCAAGTGAGAAATCAAATAGATTCCTGACCAACCTAGCTGACAACTTTGTTGACCAAAAGGTAGAGGAGGGAAATAGGCAGCTATATTGGACTTAATTCTCACGAACAGAGAAGTGATAGAGGGAGTTGAAACTGAAGGAACCTTGGGTGAGAGTGATGATATCATACTGGAATTCAATATAATGCAAACACAAGCAATAGAACATAATGATACAGAGCCTTAGAGTTTAAAAGAGTTGATTTTAACAAACTTCAAAAGAGCTTGGGAAAGATTCCTTGGATGAAAATCCTAAAGGGGAAAACGACTCAAGAAGCTTGGGAAATTCTGAAAAATATCATAAAAGCCCAATCCAGCACAATACCACTGAAAAAGAAAAACAAGAAATCAAAGAAAAAACAGCATGGTTGCACAAAGATCTATCTGATAAACTGACAGACAAAAAGGACAAGTACAAAAAATGGAAAGAGGGACACATAACTAAGGCAAAATATCAGCAGATAGCCAGAATCTGTAAAGAAGAAGTTAGGAAAGCAAAGGTTCAGAATAAACAAAGACTTACAACAAAAGTAAAAATAATAAAAAAAGTTTCTTTCAACATATTAATAACAAGAAAAAAATCAAGAAAACAGTCGGTCCACTAAAGAGAAAAGGCGGCAAGGAAGTAACAGGTAGCAGAGAATAAGCAGAGTTGCTTAACTCATTCTTTATATCGGTCTTCACGCAAAAAGAAATTAGAGGCCAATCCACCAAAAACATACGGTAACTGAAAAATACAGACTAGAAATAAAAGTTAAAATAAAAAATGGTAAGAGAACACTTGTCTGATCTTGATGAACATACATCACTGGGACCTGATGGATTACATCCCAGAGTTCTGAAGGAGCTGGCAGATGTCATCTCAGAATCACTGTACCATATCTTTCAAAACTCCTGGAGCACCGGGGAACTACCAAAGGATTGGAAAAGAGCTGACGTGGTTCCCATCTTCAAAAAAGGGGAAAAAAAACAGACCAAGGAATCTACAAATCAATCAGGCTAACATTAATACCTGGGAAGATACTGGAAAAGATAATCAAAAAAGAGATCTGTGAACATGTAGAAACAAATAAAGTTATAACTAGAAGCCAGCATGGGTTTGTTAAAAATAGATCATGCCAAACCAATCTTATTTCATTTTTTGACCAAGTAACTAAATTAGTGGACCAGTGAAATACTGTGGACATAGTATACTTAGACTTCAGCAAGGCATTCGACAAAGTAGACCAAAACATACTTCTTGGAATGCTAGAAAAAAGTGGGATAGTCAGCATCACCACCAGATGGATTTGTAACTGGCTGACAAACAATACTCAATGAGTAGTCCTCAATGGTACTACATCTACATGGAGGGAAGTAAGCAGTCGGGTACCACAAGGTTCTGTCCTAGGCCCGGTACTCTTCAACATCTTCATAAATGACTTAGATGAGGGAATAGAAGGGGAACATCAAATTTGCAGATGATATTAAGCTGGCAGGAATAGCCAAAACCCTAGATCAGGGGTGTCAAACTGCCGGCCCACGGGCCAGATGCATTATAGCAAAACCGCGCCCACCCCATTGCCGGCAATGGCAAAAAAGTCACGATATGTCGCAACGTATCATGTGATGTTGCGAGTTTGACACTCCTGCCCTAGATGATAGGCTCAAGATCCAGAAGGATCTTGACAGACTTGAACATTGGCCCTATCTAATAAAATGAAATTTAATGTAGAGAAAAGTAAAGTCTTATACTTAGGCAAGAAAAACCAAAAATACACATATAGATTGGATGAAACCAGGCTTAATAGCAGTAACTGTGAGAGGGATCTTGGAGTCTTAGTAGACAATTAAATATGAGCCTACAGTGTGTAGTGGTAGACTGGACTGCCAACTGTCAGAAATGGTGTAGGCTCTCCTGCTTGCTTGGGGGGTTGGACTAGATGACCTACAAGGTCCCTTCCAGCTCTGTTATTCTATTCTGTTCTGCTAGCTCGGGAGATTCTGACAGTTGTAGTCTTACACATCTGAATTTTGCCCTAGTTGGGAAATACAGTTCTGCTGTCATGATGGAGGACATGAACTGATTGTTTTAGACATATTTCAACAACCGGTTGCTTTGGATATGTTTCACAATACAGCAAGGGCAATGGTGACAAAGCTGCTAAAAGCACACTGTCAAAGTCTTCTTAGTTTGAAATGAACACTCCTGAAAATGTGAAGTTAAATTATTTGCAAGTGGCTGCATTTAGGTTGTCTAGCAGATCACAGCCTTTTTTTCCCCTCTTCCCAGACTGATACTTACGATGTTACAGTGACAGAGGACTTGGGGGAGATCCAACTGATAAAAATTGAAAAGCGGAAGTACTGGTTTCCTGATGACTGGTACCTTAAATATATCACTGTGAAAACACCAGTTGGTGATTACCTGGAGTTTCCATGTTACAGGTGGATTACAGATGAAAAAGAGGTGGTTTTACGAGATGGTCGAGGTAAGTGCATTTTCTGTTTTATGAGACAACTTTAGATATTTGAACACTGCTGTAATATCTCCCCTTCTGTCTCTTCTAATTGTTCCTCTTCAGACTTGGTTTTTACTCTGCTCATCATCTTCGTAGCCATCCTCTTAACTTTTAACTTAATTCTTAATTTAATCCTTTGTCCAGAATGGTATAGGGTCTTCTGCTTGAGCAGAGTTTGAACTAGAAGACCCCCAAGGTCTATCCCTTCCACCTCTATTATTCTATAATTTTGTGATTCACTTCAGCTTATCATCTTAAACTATGGTACTCAGAACAGGACACAGTACTTCAAATAGGGTCTGACCAGGGCAGAGTGGAGCAGAGTAGAACTTTATGCTTCTGTTAATGTTGGAATAATAAATATTATTCACCATGTTTCAATGAAGCCTGTCACATGATACTTGTTTTCTCAAGTTAGGATCTCTAGTTTTTGCTGCATTTTTTTCTTATATTTTGTGCACTAACATAGAAACAACTGTAGTTTGAGTGGTACCACTTGGTCTCTGTCCTTGAAACTCTGTAGCCTGGTTTCCTACTTCTCTATTTGCATTCTGCTGTTGAGTCCTTAACTGCATATACAGTTCTGGGATTTTGCCATCTTCCTCTTTTTGAACTTCCCATTTGAAGCTGATGATGCACCTGCCAAACATTTTTTTCCAGTTGTGGCTCATTTCCAGGAGACTTCAGGAAGGTAGCAAAGGCCATTGTCATTGAATCTTGAAGCTTGAAGACTTCAATGCAAAAACGTGCTTTTCAGAGCAGTGTGATGATTAATAAAAAATAATATTCTGTAACTGCTGTGAACTAAATTCCATGATTGACATAACTGAATGATACAGAGTGCTTAAAGGGTTTGAAAGTGACAGAAGTAGTAAAAAGGAGGAAGAGCTGCATTGTGTAGCAGGCAGTTTTTTCACTCTAGGATCTGGCTGAAAGAAATATGTTCCAAGGGATTTGTCCTCTGTGCTTTCCTGAATTGCCAAAATCCAAGTAGGCACAGAGCTGAAATCCTTCAGCAGGTAGTTCTTTCAACCAGCCCCCAGAGATGAGTGGGAGTCCTCTTGGTGGGTAGCAGCAGCTTGCAATCTTCCCTGTTGGCTTCTCCACTGAGTTTCTGGGAAAGTCAGCAGAGAAGGTTACAAATGGTGATCATATAATCATGGGGCACATGGCAATCAGTTTGTTTATTTATCATATGGCATAACAGAACACAGCATTAATGCATCTGAAAAGAGCCATTTTTATTTTCATACTGCTGCTTCTTGTTGGTCCTTGTGAAGTCCAGCAGCTGGAATGGGTAGACTATTTAGCTGTGAAAAAGTCACATTGCCTGGGGTGCACCACTAGGAGACTAGTCTACATTGCATTTGTGGCATCCAGTTGTAAGTGTGAATATGTTGTCAATTACCCAGATCAGAATCATGTGACTGCAGGGATGGTGGTGGTGAAATGCTTTGCAAAGGTTGGAAGTGCTTTACAGGCTGTGTTGTTAAGCAAATGGTTATAACTCAAGGACTACCTGTAGACATCTATATCTATGCACAGAAATCCTACTAAATAAACTTTGCAATGTTATAAAGAACATTTGCATATAATTACTTTAAGAATATTTGCCCCAAATCATGGCCATTTAAAATATCCAAAGTTTTACTTAGAAAAATTATACTTTTAGCAGAGGGGGGGGGAAATCCAGTTTTTGGGCATTTAAACTTCCATCTGAAATTCTAAATTATTCATAGCTTCTCATTTAAAAAACACCCTGAAAACCATTAGGAATTGAATTTCAACTGCAAAAAAACACATTTAAATGAAAATTTCTAATAGTTTAGAAAAATTCTGATTCAATATATAGCCACAGAAGATGGATGCAATGGGATTGAGGAATATGTTACATTTGTAAGGAGAGTGCCCTGAAATGCTTAGCTGTATAGTAGTTTTCTCATCCTTGGAAAAGTCCCATACTATGCTATAGCAAAACACCAGCTTATCTCCCTGCCCATCTCTGCAGCTGCTTTTTAGAATAGAATAGAAGGGACCTTGTAGGTCTTCTAGTCCAGTCTCCTCTCAAACAGGAGACCCTATAGTACATTTCAGACAAGTGGCTATCCAGTCTCTTCTTAAAAATCTCCCAATTTCTGAAGGAAAGCAGTTCCACTGATTAATTGTTATAATTGTTAGGAAGTTTCTCCTTAATTCCAAGTTGCTTTTATATCATTGCAGTGATTTTCACCTAGTCCTCCTCCTCTGTCCCTCTTCCACCTTTGCTTCTAGTACTGATCAACTGTTGCAAAATTTGTTCTTAATGCACTGCAGTTGCCTCTGAGCCTTTTCTCAATAATATGTGAGGACTTATTAGTTACAGATTGTAGCAATAAAGTTCTTCATTCAGCTCAGGATTACATTATATTTCAAGAGAGCAGATAGCAACTCTTTTTCTGTGTATTCAATAACTTTCCCTCCTATACTTAATTTGCAAACACTGCAGCTTTTCATCTGTCTCTTCTCCTTTTCTAAAGCTCATTTTCCTGTTTCAAACCCTGCCTTTCAATATGTTCCCCTTTCTGCTATCATATCTGTTTGCATAATATTACCCTCTTAACAAGGATGTTTAACTTCTGTTTCCATCTATCTTCCTCTATAATAGATAGAAAAAAAGGGGGGGGGAAATACCCGCCAATGAAGAAAAACTGCATGTGTAGGAAGTGCACATGGAATAGGCTTTTAATGACAGTACACCACATCATAATTATATAAATACAAATTTATATGTAAAGAAAACTACATTAAGAAACAATTTTAAAAATGGAGAAATGTTGGGATTTGATGGCATGTCTGCAGAAATGTTAAAACCGATACACAAAATTGGCACAGACGTTTGAACAAAATTCCAAAATTAAAACTAATACTTTTATTCCCCAGTCTAAACCAGAGGAAAAATGCAGTGAATACTTTATGATAAATTTGATGAATCATGTTTTTAAAAGATTTCTTAAAACTAGTTTAAAGCAGGAGATAGCAGCAGTATAAATCTGTTTTGAATGTTATCCAGTTTGAATTCAGGAATGAATTAGGATACCAAGGGTGGAATTTTTAAAATGTAGAATAATAGCAATTTTTCTAGATATATAGAAAATTATTAGACTAAATAATATATATGTATGCATTTTATCACATTTTGGAATCTCCCTCACAGAGGAATTTTATAATGTGTTGGAGCCAGATAATTTATAAATTCCATAAATCAATATTTTTTCATCCAAATTATTTTTCTAGTGTAAAACAGATTAAAAATGTTTTTATTAAAACAATGTTTTAAATTTGGAAGAGTAGAAACATAGTTTGATAAAGGATACTTCCCTTTTAACTCCTCTAATATATATCAATCAGGAAGATTATTATGGTTTGGTGAAAATAAAATCTTTGAAATTACACACTAAGTGCAGTTGGTCAGCCAATTGTGAATCCATCTGGTGGTGGTAGTGTCTATCCCACATTGTTCTATTCAGTGCTTTTTTTGTAGAAAAAAAAGGTGCCGGAACTCACACACGTCATACAACCCACCTTGCTTACCCTACAAGGTTCCATCCAAAAAAGGTACCGGAATTCCGTTCTGGGCGTTCTATGACAAAAAAAGCCCTGATTCTATTATACCAAGAAGTATGCTGTGATGTATTTTGTCAAATACCTTACTAAAGTCTAAGTATTCTACATGCACAGCATGTCCTTGATCCACTAATTTAGTCATCCTATTAAAAAAGGCAATAAGGTATGTATGGCAAGACCTGCTTTTAACAAACCCATGCGGGCTTCTAGTAATCATCTTGTTCATTTCTAGGTTCACAAATTCGCTGCTTGATTATCTTTCCCAGGATTTCCCCAGATATTGATGTCAAGCTGATTAGTCTGTAGTTTCCTGGATCCTCTTTTCTCCCGTTTTGAACATCAGAATCTTATTACTGGTAGTTTTTTTCCACTCTGTTGGCAGTTCCCCTGTGCTCTGGAAGCTCTGCAAGGTTTTATTCAGTGGTTCTGAGATCACCTCTGCCAGGTCCTTCAGAACCCTGGAATGTAAACCATCTGGTCCCTGCAATTTTAACTTGTCCAAGGTGGATAGGTGCTCTCTTACCAATTCCTTGCCTACTTTGACTTGCATTTCTGCTCTATCTCCCTTGGTGTTACTTTTGATAGATTAGGATCCCCCCTTTTTTTGCTTAAAAACAAATGCAAAGAAGGAATTAAGCAGTTCTGCTTTTTCCTTGCTGCCTGTTATCTTCTGCCATTAGTGGACCTTGACATTTTCTTGTTCATTATATATTGAAATAAACTTTTTTTTTGTTATTTTTGGTATTTGTTCATTCTGAGCCTTAGCCTTCCTGACTCTATCCTTACAGATTTGGGTTATATGCTGGTATTCTGTTCTAGTTATGTGCCCCTCTTTCCATTTTTTATACTTGTCCTTTTTGTCCCTCAGTCTGTCAGACAGCTCTTTGCACAATCATGCTGGTTTCTGGAAGCTCTTCTTTTTCTTTCTCTGTGGTATAGCTCTTGTTTGCACATTTATTATCTTGTTTTTCAGGGTTTGCCAAGCATCCTGAACTATTTTCTCCCCTCTAGGATTTCTATCCATGGAATCTTTCCTATTATCTCTCTCTCTCTCTCTTTTTTTTTTTTGCAGTTCTATTTTTATTTTATTCAAAAAAAGTTTTTTTTAAAAAAAAGACAACCCCCCTACAAAACAGACATTAAAAAGTGCATTAAAAAAACCTAACCCATATTCACATATTATCCCCCCTAGTTGAATACTGATTAATATATTACAACAATATTAGTTTCCCACCCTTGCAAAACAGGCCCCACAAATTTTTAAACTACTAAATCTATTTGGAAATTATTAACCTGTCATCTATATACTACATTAATGACAAAATAATTAACAAGAACAGTAATAATAGAAAAAGACAAGATTAAAG